TATGGTATATAAATTTGTAAAGCAACCCGGTATGGGACGGGCTGACATTAAATTATATATTTATTCTTTTAAAGTCTTCCGCTGTAAACGGTCTAAAGTTTTAATTTAGCCATTTTTTTGGAGTGCTTTTGGAGAATTTGTTTTAGATTACGTAACATTTCTTATATTGAGACTCTCACCTACCTCTTGTAGAATTCGCCTACAACAATAGTACCACTCTAGTATAGGGATGGCACCTTTCGAGGCCTTGTACGGGCGAAAATGTAGGACTTCGGTTTGTTGGTTAGGAACGGGTGAGAAACAATTCTTCGGCCCTGAAATCATGCAAGAAACGACCGACAAGGTGAAGTGTATTCGGGAGCGCTTAAAGGCGGCTCAGGATCGACAAAAGAGTTACGTAGACAAGAGGAGTCGACCTATGGAATTCTAAGTGGGCGACCGTGTAATGCTAAAGGTGTCCCTTTGGAAAGGTATTATCCGTTTTGGAAAGCGAGTGAAGCTAAGCCCCTATTTCCTTGGACCGTTTAAGGTTTTAGCTAGGGTGGGACTTCAAGCTTATAAACTAGAACTACCACCCGAAATGGCCGGGATCCATAACACATATCATGTGTGTTACCTTCGCAAGTGTTTGGCGGAAGAAGAAAGTGTGATACCATTTACGGAAATTCATGTGGACGAGGAAAACCGATGTGTTGAAGAACCAGAAGCCATCTTGGAAATAAAGACCAAAGTGCTCAGGCACAAAGAAATTGTCATGGTTAAAGTACAATGGAAGCACCACCGAGAGTCGAACGTAACTTTGGAAGCGGAAGAGGACTTGAAGAGGCGTTACTCTCGTCTCTTCGCGTGAGCTAAAATTTTGAGGACAAAATTGAATCCAAGGTGGGGAGAATTGTAACACCGGGGTTTTTATTTCATTTATATATATATATGAATTTAAAAAAAAAAAAACCCATATTGGGAGTTTATAACTTCTTTTTACCTAGTCTTCTTTGTTTTATTTTTTAAAAAAAATAGGGATAATAGGGGTAGCTGTTGACTTTGGTTGTACCTAATGGACCTCCTTTATCTTGGGAAGAGTTCCTTCTCATCCATACCTGTTCTTAACCTTTTTGTTTCTTTATTATTTATCAAAAGAAGCTAATAATATTAATATCAAAGCAACAACGCTGTAATCTTGGTACCTTGTGCTGAAAATCTGTATTTTACTTTAGATTAGGCCATTTCAGACCTGAAAATTGCATCAGCGTTTATCTCCTATTTCTGGTGATCTGGATATCAATCGATGACGGTCCTCCCTCCAGAAGCTCAATACTGCATATCATCACACTCATAATTTTTGAGTTTGAAAAAGAGCTTAGTGGTAGTAGTAAATTTATTGCAGAAAAGGCATTCGCATCACTTGCTTCTTGAAGAACCTATCCGAATGGCTTCAATTCTAGAGCCTTCTAAACCTCGCTTCTTTCCTGGCATGACGAAGATTGTTGGGACTCTAGACCCGAGATCGCGATCGGTTGAGACCATTTCGAGCAGCAAGCAGCAAGAACGGACAGCGGCTTTGCTGTGCTATCTCTGTGTTTTCTTCCTTCACCGACAGCAAACGGCAAGAACGGACAGCAGCCTTGCTGTGAGTTTTCTGCGTTTTTCGGTCGCCCAAACAACAACTGCCGTGCTGTTTCTTCATCCGTTTTGCCCGAACAGCAGCGTGTCGTGCTGTTTCCTTCGCCCTCCTTGCCCGAGCAGCGACCTTACTACGCCACGTGTTTCTGCAGCAGCTAACAACGATCCAGAGTTTAGGATTTCTCCCAAATCCTACTTTGTGAGTTCA